GACAGCTCATTTGTGCTTTCAGATGTTTCAATTACAGGGGGTATTAAATAAAATCTGAATCTTAGCTATCTTAAAAAATGCCTTAATTCTGCATAGAGAACGGAGTAGTGGTACACACTTGTAATCTCAGCACTTCAGTGATGGAGGCACAAACATTAAGAGACTGAGGTCATTTTCAGCTATATGGCAAGTTCAAGGCCAGCATGAGCTACATGAGAGAGAAAAGAGAGGGTACAATATAAATCAACTACCCAAGAGTCCTCTTGAATTGGTATGCTAAGAGCATATTGCTATGCTGTGTTCATTTCTAGGTCATACATGTGCTGTTATCCTGGAAGTTCCCCAGATATCCTAGGATTCTCCTCTAAGTCAGTTCCAAAGGGGAAACTGGTAGATGTTCTCTGTGAATATGTCCGCAGAACTGTCCAAAGCATTCTTGGTGGAGTCTAGCTGTGGCCAAGGCACTTCCCCATTTTCTGGTTCAATTCTGCTCCTCTCCCATCATATTCAGTAAATGGATCACTACACATGCCACTTGTGCAGTCACAGACAGCCCAGGTTCCGAGTCTGTTTTCTCCACTTTCTAGCTATGAGCTTTTAGGCAAACTACTAAATGACCTTTTGGCACAGTGTCTTCATTTGTATAAAAAGGAGTGTACCTGAATCTAGGTCATGGTTTTGGCACAAGAAAGAAATGAGTTGGTAAGTTAAAAATATATATTAGTGTTTTTGCACCTGGAAATGTTATGGAAGCATTAATGTAGTATGAGAGTCCCACATACTGAGTACTTGGGACAACTGTTTCAAATTTGGGGTTCCTTAGGAATTTGGAACGTTTGCATATGTATATTGAGATATCTTTTGAGATGAGATATGGGTCTCAAGACAAAATTTATACTTGTTTCATATATACTTTATACACGTAGCCTAAAGGTTATTTGTAATGATACCTCTTTCTGCCAATCACCTGAGTTCTGCTGCCATGTTAGGGCCCCAAATAACACAAGTCTTATCTTAGTTACAATGCTGCTGGCCAATGACTAGGATTTCTTGTTTGCTAGCTCTGTCTGAAGTATCAACCGTAACCATTAATCTATATATTTTATATAGACTTATCGAGGATGCCAGCGGCATGCGTCCTCTCTTCCCGGGATCACATGGCAACTCTGTCTCTTTACTATATTTCCCAGAATCATCCTTCTCTCCTAGTCCCACCTAACTTGCTTCCCTATTGGCCAACAGTGCTTTATTTATTAACCAGTAAGACAAACATATATACAGAAGGAATTCCCCCATCACTTATTTTATTTTGTTTGTTTGTTTTTCAAGACAGGGTTTCTCTGTGTAGCCCTGGCTTGTCCTAGAATGTGCTCTGTAGACCAGGCTGGCCTGGAACTCAGAGAAATGTGTGCACCCCCAATGTCCAGCTGGGATTTTAAACCATATTTGTAGTACTTCTGCTTTTACTACAACCTATACCACAAGGTCATCAGTAGAATTTCCCACTGTGGAATCATATGAATAGGTAGTTCAGCTTGGAAGAGACATTTCCATACCTATTGTCATTGTGATCTGTACATAAACCATCAGTGTACTCATTCCAGGTCATTCCCAATGATGCCATGTTGAGTCCACCAGCACTGCTCTCTCTAGACCACCACTGATGGCAGCAACCAGTACTAAACTGTCTGAGGCCTCTGTTGCTGACCATATCTCCATCATGTCCCAGAGGTATCTGCCATGATCTAGGCACTGTCTTATGAAGCATTGAGGATATGATGGAAATAACACATGGTCTTTGCTCTCACCAGGGTCCCAGAAAAAAAGAAATCAAATGATGAAGTAAAGGGTAATTCCTAGGAGATTTATGCACCAAAACCACAGAAAACACTGAGTCTTAGTGCCATGATTTCCTATTTAATGTTTATAAGGACTCTAACGTGGCCAGAAACCAGAAAAACACTTGGCATCTTTGTAAAGCTGGCATTATTTAATAATAAGCCCCCCTCTCATGCCCTCAAGGTCTATGGTAGCTCTTGACTTGCCTATCTTTCTCAAGAGGTATTCATTAAATTTACCAAATTGGTGGTATTTTATTTGTGAACAGATTTATTTGTTCAGCCCTGACTCCCAACCTAGTGTCTGTCCTCAAGGAAATATAAACTGGAGAATCCTTGATGGCCATGAGAATAGCGATGGTCAAACCATGGTCATCCTTGAAAAGGCACTGAGTGCCTCCAAGCACCAGAAGGTTCAGCACCAGTGGTGGAGTGTCCTCAGATCCAGGCTCTGGATGCTGTTGTTTTGTATTGTTTCTAAGACACAGTCTCACACATTAGCTTAGCCTGACTTGATGTGGTCAGCTCCTTCATAAACAGTGATCTGTCCAAAGGCTGTCTTGCCAGCCAGCATCCGATAATCCCTAGACCCTGAGGTGCTGGAGAATGCACAAGGGAGCCAAGCCAGATGTGATCCTGTCCTTACAGTTCCAAATTTGTCACCTTCTGAAATCCCTATTACCTTTGTCACATGTAAAAGCCCCTCTAGCAGTCATTACATATAAGAAGAACTTGTGTTTACTCATTTTTACTTAAGCAGACAAAATTTTTCCATCAGGTTTTGAGCTCATGAGAGCACTGGTGTTTCCTACCTCCCATGGGAACCTTAAAGATAGATAGATGGTAAAGTCCTGCTTTAAAAACAGCAAACTATCTCAGATCTAGGCCGCTGTCTTGGGAATCCTGGTCATGAACCACTACTTGAAATATTCAGGTTCACAATCCTGCCGAAACATTTCTGGGTTACCAGATTTCAGTGGTTGCCTCACAAGTGGAACAAGCCATTTTCTTGAGCATCGAGGTGTCCCCCAGCCTGGCCTCTCTGCCTAGAAAGTGCCATTTTCATAAAGAGCTGTCATGCTCTGAGTCCTTTGGCTTGTGATTTAGCTGTTCGGGGAAAGTGCAGGCTGCTGTTGCTCACTCGGTGCTGGTGATGTGTGTTTTTTGTTTTATTAAATCTTTAAAATACCAGGCTTGTTTTTTACGATCCCCATATATTCTTTTGTTCTTCTCCATGACTGGTTAGATCACACTTTTGCTCCCTTAGTAAAAATATTAGTGCCTTTCTGAAGAACACTGTGGTCTCCAGAGTGGCTGTCTAATAAAGTAGAGAAATGTGTGGAGCTTGCTATCAGATGCACGGAGGCCTTGGTGTGGGTGCATTACAGTGGATGGTTTAAGGCCTACCACGATGTCCACAGGGATACATGTCTTTTGGCTCTTACCAGATTTGCCTTGATAACTCTGACATCATTTGGCACAAATCTCAGAACTTTTTATCCAGCAAAGCTACCAAATGGCTTATATTTCCATTATGGACTCTGTGTGTGTGTGTGTGTGTGTGTGTGTGTGTGTGTGTGTGAGAGAGAGAGAGAGAGAGAGAGAGAGAGAGAGAGAGAGATTAGAGATTAGAGATTGCTAAAAAAATACAATCTGTTAAGTTGTTAAGTGGAAGCCAGCTCTTGTCCAGGTATGAGCTTGGATGTTTAAGTCCTGGCACTCACATCCAGTGCACAGAAAAACTAATTCTTCTAAGTTAAAGTTGGAGATCCTGAGGAATAAGAGAGCATCCCCACCTACCCTAACTAACGTCTCACAAGACCCAGTCTACAAGATCGTCCCTACACAGAGGAGACTCAAAAAGGCTGAATTAATCTTGAATACAACTGGGCTAACCCAGCCCATGACATCCAACTGAACTTGTTCCTGTGTTGCAGTGTCTCTCAGCCCACTCTGTACTGTTAGTTTTGGCAAGTACGCCACAGCAGATAATAAATCATGGAAGGAAAAAGCTGTTGGCCTAGCATGGTTCAGCCTGCTGTGATATTAGAATACAGAAAGCAGTTCTGTTTTTACACATCCTTTTACTAACCCAGCATTCATAATTTATGATTGCACTGTAAAATTCCTGCAACACTACACCAAAAGTAGTCCTGCCCTTTAATTAAGTACTCTTGGTAGAGAAAATGTGAAGTTGATGTGCAAACCATCTCTCTGTGCTCAGTGATTGATAGTGATTATATCTTTATGAACCCAACCTAAAGGTCTCAACTTCCTGATGGGTGAAGTCGCCTGTAGGGCCACTTCCTGGCTGGGATCAGTGGCTGCTAACAAAACTGAAGATAACTTGGAGGGCATAACGTAGGCATGTTGGTTTTTTAAGCCTCCATCTGTCTGTCCATACTTGGTCACAAGTCTCTATGACTATCCCTTGTGTCTGTGGGAGCTTACAATCAGATTTCACATTAGCTCCATGTGTAGGTTGCAATGCAGAGAATGGAGCGTTGGGTAGAGGTCTCTTCAAGGTATCCTAGTTTGACATGAAGTTTTTTTTAAGTTAGAAATAATGAATAATAGGAGATACCTCTGGCCACACTGGTCCTTGAATTAAACATGATAGTCAAGGAGAACCTTAATCTGTCCCATCGTTACATTATTTTTCAAATGTTTATGAGACAGTGTCCTGCTATGCATCCCAGATTGGCTTCAAGCTGTTGATCCTCCTGCCGCCACCTCCTGAGTGCTGTGATAACGAATATGCACCACCGTGTCCAGTTGTTCAAACATTCTTTTCCTTCCTTTGTTAAAAGTAGGCAAGTTTAATTTTTAAAATAGTACCAGGAAATATTAGAAGGCAGCCTCCCTCAGCCAGGAGTTGTATCCTTCCTCAGCTAAGCAGTGACTGCCTCATACCCACAGCCCTTTATTGAAAGATGTTATAGGTGAATCTAGATCTATGGGGCTCCTGGAAAGCCAACGGATCTGTCTGGTAGCAACAGTTGCATTAAGTGAACACTTAAGTTTGTACTCAGCTACCCACCTTCATCACAATAGCAACCAAAGCAGGCTGATGTAATTATTTCTCACTTAACTGTCTTTTCTCTATGCCTCCAAAGATGTCTGTTTTCTGGATGTGCATGACATTTTCTGATGTTTTTGCAGGTTTGGACCAGGCTTGGTCATCTATTGGTATGGATTTATCCAGGAACTGGACTGCAACCGGGAAAGGGGCATCCTGCTCAAAGCCTGTTTCCCCACGGACATCGTCACCTTATGCCATAGCACAGCCTGACCCTGAAGATCCTGAAGAGAAGCCGGAAGCAATGTTACTTTTCTGAAGTATAAACTTCTGGCAACATCTGCCCTGAACTTCAGCTGAACCCTGGCTGCTGCAGTCGCAGCCCTACCTCTCTAGACAAACATATCAGGAGTTTCTGCTTTCCTTCATCCCTAGCTGATGTGAATAGCCAAGAACTCCGGACACAACCCACTCATTATCAGCATCTCTGTCTCTGACACAGTTAGTTTATAGATAGTCATAATCTTGCTTCCTTCCGAAGGCTTTCTCCTTGTACACTGAACAGAAGGAGAAATGTGGGGACTGAAGGGTGGGATTTTTCAATTCTCCTCCCTGTTATCGAATCACTGAATCACTGCCTTGTTTTTTCTGCTAAACCTCTACTCATTCATTCTCTTTCTCTCTCTCTCTCTCTCTCTCTCTCTCTCTCTCTCTCTCTGTATGGGTAAACTTTGGTACTAAGTGTTGCATTAACATCAGGGAATAACCTAGCACAAACATAGAAAAGCTGGAGACGGGAAGTCTGTAAGTATGTGTTCCTTCTCACCTGGGGCTCAGGATGACTGGACAGGGACTTTTACCTGTCCAGCATTATGGCCTCCTGACTTGTGTGGCATCCAGCCAAGCTGCAGAAATCCCCCTTGATGAGAATTTCCTCTTTTCATAAAGGTTATTTGAACACCAAACATTTCACATTGATCTCACCTTAAATATGAATTCTTTGTGTCTGGCAACCATGATGCTTTGGTTTGGGACTAAGGCAGAAGACCAATGTTCAGCCTCCCTGTTTATAGTGGCCCTTTAGACATGAATGCTGGCCTCTACAATGTTGGCCACTATTTTTATGAGATTTTTTTTTAAGTGCATTCATACATACTGCTTTGTGTCTACATTTTATACCAAATAATCTTATAACAACCCTCAAATAAGTTAGACATTATAAATCGTCAGCTTTGAACATATTAAGTGTACCAGGAAAATCCTAGAATGATTTTTAAATAAGCAAAATAAAAGAGATTTTGTATTTATTCACTTTAATTTATTCACTTTTATATCCTGAAGACCAGACTTCAGTCAGAAGCAAAACATCAATAAAATAATTATAAACCTATCTTTTGGGAAATTAAAAAGTAATCTGCAATCCCCCCCCCAAAAAAAGTACTTAGTAAAAACTATGTGCCCCAGTGCTTGTAAATGTCATTTTTAAAATGTTAAATAGATGTTTTTAGAAGTAAAAATAAGACTTTTGGAAACACCTTAAGTCATACACAATGATGGGTTCCTTTTGTGCCTGGTCTATGAAAAACCTGGCCTGTTGCCTTCCTGCCAAGGGCCACAGTGCAGCAGGTCCAAGATAGGATGTTAAGCTCTCCTGGGAGACTGCAGTAAATCAAGGGGGAGAAGGGAGAGTAGTAAGGAAGCATCAGGCAGGTTTTGTGTATGAAATAGATGATTTGAGACCACTGTTACATTGCCTTTACACATAAGCTTTAAAAAGATATTAAAATCTGGTTTCATGACATGCCCTAAGACACTGGTTTTATTTGTTTTGTTTTTTGGTTGTGGGAGAAGTTGCAGTAAATTACATGTATCTACACAGATATTAAAAATCCTGCTAAGCCTTCGTCAAAGATATGCTTGTTTTTACATCATCCTAATTTATGATGAGCATGCACAAATAAATTTTAAAGGCTCAAAAGGTGCTTGTGTTTTGTGTTTATTCTTCTACCTAGAGCCCTGACATAATGTGTTGTGAAAAGGTTTTGGTAGCCCCAACAGAGACACCACCTTGTGTTTATGAGTGAAGCTTCCCAAGTTGACCCCTCAAAGCAAGAAAGAAGCCAACAGTAAATTACATAATGTTGTAAGGTTGTGAGTTACTCAAATACTAGTGTTATCCTTGTGTCTGCTGTGTTTGAATTAGAGATATGTGGGGGGAAAAAAGAGTTTTGCTCCCAGGTGAGAAGCTTAAAACCTCCTTGTCATTTCTTTCATCTTAAAAATACTTATCTGGGGACTGGAGAGATGTCAGCAGTTAAGAGCATTTACTGTTTTTACAGAGGACCCAGTTTCAGATCCCAGCACTCACATGGCAGCTCACAACTTGTAATCCAGTTCCAGGAGATCTAATGGTCTCCATGGGCACCAGTCATGCACATGGTACACACACATACATGAAGGCAAACTCTCACACACATAAAATTTAAAAAGCTTTAAAAAATACTAACCTGTACAACATTCTTATATGTTGCTTGCTTTTTTATTTTGTTAGTGTAGGCAATCCAAACATTAGCCCCAGGATAGCAGTCATGGGATAACTTACTCTTATGGCTGTCATCATTAGAATATTAATGTTAAAGCCAAATATTTAATATTTTTGTGGACCATTTTTGCACACTGTGCTGATGAACTATGCCAAGTCAGGATACAGGAATAGGAGTAAAACATAACTCTGAATAGTGTTCTCTCTACCACAGAGACCTGTCACGTAACTGCACTGGCAAACACAACAGACCCCTTTGAAGAGTCGAAAGGGACTGACTCAGAGCAAAGCCTGATGGGGGAGGTCCATCTGTGTATATGTTTGTCTTATTGGCTGATAAATAAAGCACTGCTGGCCGATAGGGAAGCAAGATAGGTGGGGCTAGGAGTTGAGGAGGATTCTGGGAAATGAAGTAAAGGGGGGAGTCGTCATGTGAGCCTGGGTAGAGAGGATGCATGCCACTGGCGTCCTCGATAAAATAAGTCTTTATAAAATATATAGATTAATGGTTATGGTTGATACTTAAGACAGAGCTAGCAAATACGAAATCCTAGTCATTGGCCAGCAGCATTGTAACTAATATTAATCTCTGTGTGTTATTTGGGGACCCTATTGTGGCAGCAGAACTCAAGCAGCTGGCGGAAAGAGTTATCATTACAAAAGCCAATCCACCTGACAATCAAAGGTGACCATGTAGATGACTCCCCTCTATCCTTCTCTCCCCCTTCCTAAAAAACACAAACAGTGGAGACTCTTTTACCTTCTAGTGAGGTGTGTGTAAACTTCACACGTGACAGGAGGTTCAGAATTCTGAAGTCCACCTCTAGGAAAAGTATTCATTTTACATGTGAGTGGCTACCTGCTCATCACCTGCAAGGCTTTATGCCACTCTGGAAAAGATGATTATTGGTCTTTGGGGATTGCATTAATTCATGAGAGCCACTAGGGAGGAGACTGCTTAGAACCCTGATGAGGTAACCTAAATAGTCCCCTAGCTGACTACACTAATTAACACACAGCACCAAAGTGAACAGTTAGTTTGCTCCCTCTACTCTCCCTGGGGAGCTCCACCCGTTGTTTACATTCTGCATTGGAAGCAAGATACCTGATGTTTGCTCTTTTGGACCTGCTGCAGGCCTGGAGTTTCAGTAAATGCAATCTACAGAATGCTGTGTGTTTCTTCCTTTCCTGCTTCTTCCTGGTCATCTTCTCTTTCATTAATCTTCTTGAGTTTCTTTCCACGTTGATATGCCTTCCTACACATCTCTTTTTTTCTTTGTAGACAATGAGTGATATCTGAAGCAAGATATATCTCTCTAAATCCTTGTGAAGTAGGCACTGACCCAATCTCTTCAAATAACAGTGAAATTCATGTACTTCACAGGCCAAAACACCAGAGTGCATGTTACCAGCACCTGGAGGATCCTACTACATTTAACTAATATAATGATATTTTGCATTTCATATGAGATTTATGTCTTAGGTAAATGTTTTGGCAAAAAGCCAACAAAGCTGGATAGGGTGACAAACATCATTAGTCCCTGCAAATGGGAGGCAGGCAGGCAGATATCTATGAGTTCAAAATCAAAAAGTAGTTTATATAGTAATTTCCAGGCCAGCCAGGACTACAGTGTGAGCCTGTCTAAAAAAAAAAAAAAAAAAAAAAAAAAAAAAAAAATCTCAAAAGAAGCCCAGACCTGGAGGGTTTTATAGTATGCTTCAGCCGCACATGATTGTATTCAACCTATCATAGTTGTGAATTAAAATAGTAAAATTTCTGTCTGGCTTAGTGAGTCACGACACTCAATTATTGTGAGGCAGCTTGCCATTACTTCTATGTCTGAGAGGACACTGCTTCATAGAATAGCTATTTGATAACAAGAATGGGAGGAGACGCTCCCCATGGGCACATTCTTGACTAGGGTTAAGGAACAAAGTAAGGGGAAATTTACCACGCAAACAATGGGAGTGTGCCCGCCATGTCAACACTGGGCAACAAGCACAAGCTACCCATCTCAACCTGAAGCCCTCTTGGGTTAAGGAAGGGTCATTCGTGACATAGTTGAGCCCATCTAATCATCTTCCTGACCCTCCTATCGGTAGGAAATCCAGTCTGAAGCTGTTTTATGAAGAGCATGCCTGATTCTAGAGGTTAAATGAGGAAGATGGGATTATGAATTAAATAATAACCAGAAGAGCCTGGGTTCCCCTTGTGTTTTGTGCTTTCCTGCTATTGTTTGGGATATGGCTGTGAGACAAAGAACTGCTTAGGTCAAGCACTATAAATTACAGTTTTCATACAATAGTCATCCACTAAAATGATTTCAAAGCTTGATCAAAGTAATTCCAAAGAGCCTTTTAAAACTTTCCTACAATACATGGGGGGCAGGAAGTGCTCATTGGGTGCCTTGATTTGTTTCAGTCCGTGTAGCAGAGTTCAATCTTGGTGTCATGCCTACTTTATATAAAACCCAAATCATTAATTAGGTAAATAAAACTTGTGTTTGGTGCTTCTTGTGTGAGGACAAAGTCTATAGGTTTTTTGTTTGTTTGTTTGTTTTGTTTTGTTATCTAGTTACCTACAACAACTAAACATTTGGAGTCACCTGTAAAGAAAAATACATGTAAGTGATTTTTTTTTTTTTTTACAGGAGCATAGCTTGACCATTTTTATGTCCCCAAAGTATTTGATAAACAATATCTACTCCCTACACTTAGGGTGATGTCAGCAAGGCTTACTTTGTTGTTCCAATAAGGCAACAGATATGTTTCTTTTTCTTTTTTTCCCCCCTCACTTGCACTTCTTCTGAGCAGGGTTGTGTCATAGGCAGGGATAATGAAAACTAGGCTAGTGGCAGCAAAGCAGGGAGTCCTCAGTTTAGCCACGGGTGCAGTGAAGGTGGAGGATGGCAGCCATGTCAGGTGCAATGGGTGACCTATGCTACTGAGTCAGATCACCTTCGCTTTTTTAAAGGAAGGTCATTTTGAAATGCCAGCATGAAATATAACAATGTCAATTAAGTAGTAACCGTTGAAGTTCAACATTTAATTGAGGGCCAAACATGAAGCCAATGACCATTAACCTAAAATGGCCATTAATTCTAGAAACTGCTGTTGTTTGAAGGTATTTCTAGAATAACTCACACTGATCCTTTGTGGGAGAGGAAGCTTTGTTATTTTTCACATCCAACATAGGTTCCTTCAGAAGTAATTTAGTATGTCTGTGTATACTTTCTAGTTTTTTTCTTTTTTATTAAAATTGTTTTGGTAGGCATTGAAACCCGGTCAAAACTACCTTTTTACAGGAAACTATAGTTCTTTTTGAGAACTGAAAAATGAACATGATTTGTGTGCTTAGTAAATATCTTAACAGTCACATTACTTGCTGTTTGTTTAATAAAAGTTTTCCAGTTAGGTTATTATCTTCATGGGGACAGAAACCACTTCTATTTTGTTGACTCCTCTATGCTCCCGGTCCTATCAAAATTCCCAGTACAGAGAGCTGTTCAGTAAGTGTTATATGAAGAAATGATTGCTAAATTTATATTGAATGTGTCCTTACTTTCTTTACACAAATAATTGGAGCTATTTCTCATTTTTTTTCAGCTAAAAAATGAACATAGTCACAGGAATCAGAAAAGCAACAGTTAAGTGGATGTTAAAGAATTTAAACTTCTCAAAAATCTCAAAGCAAATTTGTGAAGAATATTTTTTGAGGCATGCTCAATTTAAGGGGAACTCATTATGAGTTTGTTGCATTTGCCATAAGAGTGGCCATAGAGCACTGATTTTATCCACTGAATTGTTCAATGAGAATATCAGAAATCTTTTTTTTTCTTTTCAAGGAAGACTTACCTTTATATTTTCAATTCTATTTAAAAAAAAATAATAACTTCCCTTAACATCCTGTCAGGCCCCCAATCCAGGTATTTCACACACAGAATTGGGACTATTTGTGGGTGTTGACAGGGTCACTATAACTGGCACTTTCATTACTTCCACTTGTAATGCCTGGTTAACGGCAAAATGCTTCCAGGCCATGAAAGTGGTTGGCTGACTTTAGTGAAGGTATAGTCCTTTGTCTATAGGATCTGGCCTTTGAAGAGATGCCATCCACAGCCTACTCAGTAGATGTGTCCATATTAGTAATTCAGGTGTTTCATCATTTGAAAGCCAGAGACATTCTATTTCCTCTTGTTCTGAAAACTTGTAGTACCAGTTTCCCAAGGTTTCCATGCACATCTGGAGAGATCTGACCCACAGTACAGGTACCAATGATACCTGGTCATCATATTCAATAGTCTTAATATGTTTCTAGCACTAAGGCTATTTAAGACACAAATACTTATCAGGTCTTCATTGTGCATTTATAAGTCTTTGAAGTACTCTAGGGAAAATTTTTAATGTGATTTAAAAAAAAAAGTCCTTCTTGGAAA